TGAGTTTAAAAATTCTAAAGCTAGGGGGTCTAATAATTCTTTTTCATAATCTTTAACGATTCTTTTAGTTTTCTTTTTTGCAAATTGTTCACCTTCTTTAGAAATACTCTGTGATGCTATCGGAATAGAATCAGTTTTATTACTATTATGATATAACGGAGTTGGATTAAGTTTTGATAATTTAATTTCGGATTTAGTAATTTTTTTAGTAAATATCTCTTGTATTTGCGTATAAGTATAAATATTAACTTCACGAACTCTTCTTCCAGTTGTATTACGAGATTCAGTATGATATACTTCTTGTTTTAAAAGGCTTTCCATGCGAGATTTTTCTTTTTCATATGCAGTAAATAGTAAATTATATCCATTTTGATTTAATTCAGGTGAAAATTGTAATAATTTATGAGTAATATTAGAATTATCAAATAAATTAACAAGTTCTAAAGCTAAAGTCCATATTTTATCTTTTCTTGCAATAACAATTCGCTCTGATGGTTGTTTATTTTTATCTAAGTTTAAAAATTCAGTAAATAATAATTGAATGCGAACATTTTCTACTTGTACAGATTTAATAAATAACTTTAGATTTTCTTCATTTAATGGATATTTTGTTAAAGACTGTTTAACATATTTAACACTAAATATTTCTAAAGCTTCATCATATGCATAATAATGATTTTCACGGGTTATATTAACAGAAGCTGCATATCATAATAATGTTTCTAATTGTGGATTTTTATCTATTTCAGCTAAATAATGACATACTGAGGTAGCATAATTTAATTTTCCAGCGACAGTAAATAATGGAGCAAATGCTTTAAGTGCATGTATTTGTAAATCAAAATTTCCAGTCTGAATTCCTATTTTATGTGCTTTCCAAATACTTGTCTATTTCCAAAATAATCCCCATATTGAACAATAATTATTTGACCATCCATCTAATAAAAATTCTACTGTTACTTGCTTTTTATATGCGAATATATTTAATGCTATTCCTATTGATATCCAAATAAGATTTAATGTTAATGAAGCTGCGCAATACTCAACAACTTTTTGAAAATTAGATAAATATTTAACTCCAAATGCTGCAGCAAAATTGAATAATCCATATCCTGAAAAAGTATTAATAATTACACTAATCATATCTTTACTAGTATGCCATGGACCAAGTAAAATACGTATATAAGAATTTATATTTTCTTTATAATCAATTATTCTGCGAAATATAGATTCATCAGATGCTATATCTAAGTATTCCACAATTTTTATTTGATTCGTTAAATGATCATAATACATATTTTTTGTAAATTCAATATCATCACCATACATTTCACATGATTCAAATATCCCTTCGTCATCATTTGGTAATCCTCCAGCTTCTAATATTATTATATTAGGCGGCTTTATAAAACATCCTTTAGAAATATATTTTAAAATTTTTTTATGAATATCCGAATTATCGAAATCATTATTAAATGATATTGAAGTAAAATTTAAAAAGCTTTTAATAACATAATTAAAAATATCTAAAATTTCTAATATATAAGACGAAATTTCAAATAAAGGTCGATTTTTATTTATTAACATAATAGTACGAGGATTAACAATTCCATATATAGGTATTGGCATTGTATATTGAAATACCATACGTAATGTTGTATGAATTGTTTTTCGTGGAATATCAAAAATATTTCCAAACTGAAATGATTTTTGAATAAAATCAATATTATCTATTACTGCTAAATTCCAAACTTTTGGTCCAAATATCAAGTTGTTTTGTGGTATAATTTCCTTCATTCTTTGTTTTTCTAAACGACATTCATGTCTTTGAGTATGTGCTACAATATATACTGAACGTAATATTGCCATTAATGATGATATAAGTTTAGGTCGCCTACAAATACTTGCTATTAAATAAGTTATCCAAAATTTTTTACCCTTATATGCTATTGTTAAAATAATTGATGTTAAAAAACTTGTAATGCGTATTAAAATCTTTGGATCTTGCTTTTGATATATATAATTAAAAAATTTATCCTTTTTTAATAATCTCCATTTACGTTGTTTTTGTGCTATATTATGTCGATGATCAAGTAATACACTTATTAATCCACGAAAGAAAAATGAAATTATTTTTGGTAATGAATTATAGTATTCAAAAAGTGAAGTGGGTGATTCTAAAATTTCTTTATTTTCATTAATAAAATTATGCTCTTTAAGAATCAATTCACCTAAAGACTGTCCAAATTCTAAAGATTCATTTGGGGTTAAATTATATTTTCTTTTTTGTCTTAATTTTTCTGCTTTTCCAAGTTTTAAACAAATATTAATTATAAAAATGCTAGGAGGATTACTAGAAATTAAAGATGATTCAGAAAAATCAGAATGAATATTTTGCCAATAAACAGTTAATGTATGCGATAATTTAGATAATAATTTTGATTTTAAATTTTCATCAGATGATGCCGCAACATCTAAAATCCAATTTCCTATCATTTGCAATCCTAAAGTATATTCATTTTTATGTTTTATATCACAACTTTCTCTTTTTTTTCCTTGTCCAGGCGATATATAAGCATGCCCACCATTATTATTAATACAAGTCTGACATATATAACGTGAGTAATTATAACCTTCTTCTAAACCTAATTTTTTACAAGCTATTGATTCGTGTGTATCTAAAATTTTGCAAGTATATATTGCAAGACATGGTAACAAAATATCCTTTCCTATTACTCTCCAAGCATGTGTTTGGCAATTTGTTCCTCTAGTATAAACATAAAAGCAATGACCACAAAAAAGACATCTTTTAGAAGAAATCATCGCAAAAGATGGATCAATATTTTGCCTTAATCCTGATGGATGAAAATCTAATCTTTTATCTAAATTTATATGAAAATTACATACTCCAAGCCTTTCAATATTTCCATTAACCTCAACTACACAATTTGAATTTATTTCCCAATTTCCAATTAAATTCCAAAGTCTTCGCATACTAGGTTTATTACAGTCTTCAATTTCTAATGTTATTGGATTTAAAAATGCCACAGAACAAATATTATGAAAATCTTTTTTTTTATTTTCGGCTAAAATTTCAGTTGTAGCGATTATTTTATTATCATCTGTATTATCCACTTAAAATATAAATAAATATATATATTAATATAAAAATCATATATATAAAAATATAAATACAAATTATAATAAAAATATATACCTATTTCATAATTGGTGACATCTGTTTCTTCATAATCTTCTTTTAAATGCTCTTCAAAATTAGAGTCACTTTCAATTGTACTATCCGATTCAATATCATGATGAGTAATAGGAGATGGTGCCATTTCAGGTCCTCCAACATCATCAAAAAAAGCAAGAAATTCATTTTCAATATTTGTGTCCTCATTTGTTAATATTGGATTACTTTCATCAAAATTTAAATTAAGTTCATCATCAAGAATATCGTTTATATTAATGTCAAATAAATTCGAAGATGTAGAAGTACTTGTATTCATGCTTTTTTGTATATTAAGGAACGTCACACAACCCGCAGCATTCAAGTAAAAAATGAAAGAATAATACACAAAGAAAAAGAAAAGGTAATATTATTAAGGAATGTTGTACAACCCACAGCACTTAAGGTAAAGGAATGAAGAATAATACACAAGGAAAGAAAAAGAAAAAATAAAATTAAAGTAAAAATTAAAGAAAGTTTTTTAGTTCGTTCAGACTTATTATTTTTAATTAATCAAATATATCGAATAGTTGTTTTGAAGCTACACTTTGATATTCTTTATATACAAAAAGTTACAACAAAAAACAGGTTTAAGTAAATT